GCCAGTCTCATCAAAGGGACAGAGGGAGGCTTTTGGGAGGCTCTGGGAAAGATCTTCCTCCTCAATAAGAGAGAAGAGTTTGATGGGATTGTGCTGCTTGTTCTGCATTTATATTATTATGAGAGCTGTGATTCTTGGTGCTTCTATAACCTGTGGATCTGGAAGGGAGGGCCTCAGAAGGGTGGCAGGTAAAAAATGAGGTACTGAGTACTGAATCAACACTGGGGCCAGACTTTGTTGTATGTGAGGAATTTAAACCCAGATTATTTAAATCTAGACTTTTAGGTTGCTGTTCTGTTATTTATAGCCACAAGCATTCTGTGTCACTGCTTTCCCTTGTTTCACCAAATTGTGAAGAAAAATACTCATTGACTGGTTGACTCATGGAATGAATTTTATTAAATGCTTATCATGAATCAAGATTTTTATGAAAACTATCAAGTGAAGTATAGTAGACAGAGCTTATTAGATACATTCTAGTTCTGTTGCCTAGAAGATGTACACACATCTTTGCTTATATTTGGACACATAAACAGATCATTTCATCTTAGAATTTGTACTGGTAATTGAAAAATAAGTTTTTGTAATTGTTAAATTTTTTTTAGTATCATTTGCCAGAGTTGCTTGGCTGAGATGGGTTTTGATCTTTGAGAGTAGGGTTGTAGCAAGAAGATAGCATGAAAAGAAAGGTTAAATTCAATTAATTTAGTAACTTATGTGCCAGATGGTATACCAGGATTCTTTCTAGGATCACACTGAAAATTAAATAATTTAGGGAGATGGTGTTGAGATCTTAGTAACTGAATTGAAGCTTTTGCTTTGAATATGTTAGCTTTTGAACACAGTATAAGCCCTGAGCTACATAGAAATTGACATTTTCCTTGATGGGAGAAATAACTAGGCTTTAAGGTTATCCATTCAATCATTGCTGAAGTTAATACAATTGGCTACCTAAATTGACTATCCTGTTGATATGTGTTATTGTTAACATCCCAGTGAGATACACATTCCTCCAGACTGCAAGGCATCCCAAGAGTGAGCTAGGAGGCCTATAGGACTTTCATTGTCCTCAATTCTGCTGAAAATTAAGGAATTCTTTTCCTTGAAGTAGTAGTTACATTCTGAAATTTTCTAAAAGGTATGCTTTTGTAACAGGATAAATTTAGGAGAAAGCAGTAAAAGAATTTGGTATGAACTTTAGAGTTTTTATACTTGCTTTGTATTTAATGGAAATGCACAAATAAAATGAGTCTTATAAGTTCTGGAGTCAGAATTCTATTTTGGGTTCTGTTGGGCTAAATGGAACCAGGCATTGGCAAGCCTGGTTCCTTTCTATAGGCCCTGTGTAGGGTCTGTTTTCTTGCCTCTTCTAGCTTCCATAGCCCTTGGGATCCTTGGGTTTTTAGCCCCTTCCACCATTTTCAAAGACAACAAGAGTTGGTTGAGTCCTTGTCACACATTCTGTCACTCAAATATTGAGTCTTCTTTGGTCTCTCTCTTCCACTTTAAAAAATTTATTTATTTATTTATTTATTTATTCATTCATTCATTCATTTATGGTAGTGCTGGGAATTGAACCCAGGGTCTTACCTATACTAGTCAAGCACTCTACCACTCAGTACATACCTGGCCCTTTTTAAAATTTTTTATTTTTGAGAGAGGATCTCACTAAGTTGCCCAGGCTGGCCTCAAACTTGTGATCCTGTTGCCTCAGCTCCTGAGTATCTATGTTTACTGGTATGTACCACCATACACTGGCTCTCTTCCACTTTTAAGGACCCTTGTGATTACTTTGAGTCACTAGAATAATCTAGGATAATCTCCCTATCCTAAATTCAGTTGATTGACAACCTCAATTCCCTTTTGCCATGTAATCTAATATTCACAGTTCAAGGAATTAGGGTATGGACATCTTGAGGAGGTTTAGTTATTTCTGCCTAACACATGATATTTGCTACAGAGATGTCTCTGATCATAGGTTCTCTTGGTGTTGATAATCTTTCTTTGTGGAGTGGAGTGAAATTTGTAGTGTTTTTATCCATTTTTCTCCATTTTGTGGTTTTTAAAGTTTGAAATTATGTTTAGAATTAAGTTTGCTTTGAATAGTATTTAATTGCTTTATCATATTTTGCTTTCTATCTTGTATTTTCAGCATAGGCACATTTGAGACCTAATAATACAGGCATACTACAACAGGATTATTATAGGACAAGGTCATAAAGTTAATTGTTCACTTTCACTCAATGTTTTTAAGAGCCAGACCTTTATGGAAATTATTCATTTTAGAAGAAGTATATAGAGAGCATTACCTAATTTGTAATGTGAGTTAAGGGACAATACAGCTTCTCTAACTTTGTCTAAATAGCATATGATAACCTGATAGAAATTGCAGATTTGAGAACTTTACTCATTAATTAATTTCTSGGTTTGTTTGTATAACTGCTTTTGGTTACATATAAGTACACACTCAGTAAATGAAGTGTTTTCTCATGATCTTTGTGATATAATATTTTCACATAAAATTTGCATCTGTTCATAGTACTTTTAATTCTCATTTAATACAGGTAGTATTTCTTTGATCACACCCCTATCTATTCAGAATTGAAAATACTGTTGAAGGGAATAACTATCTCTTCCACAGGACTTTTTGCCTCCTGTGTCATATTCATAATCCCACAATAGATAATAGCCCATACCATACATTATGAATATGTAAACAGTGGTGATAAATTAGCACCTATCTTTGAGATTCAGTGTTTAGAGCACTAGGAGAGTAGTGATGTTTTTGTGATTCCCTTAACTGTTTTGGGGGGCGGGGAGTGAATAGACTTACTTTATATTGAGAAAGAATGAATAATGTAATACACATTCAAGTAAATAGATCTTTGTAGCCAACTTTAAAGTCTGGTAAAAGGGAATAAGTCAAATAAATTTTGGTTCTAAAATTATGGACTAGGTTTGGACAATGGAAAATGCTCAGGGATTACTCACATCTGCTGTGGGAATGCAGTGCTGATACTATAAATGGGATTTCAGAAAGATGGTGGCCATAGAGCTATGCCAGTATCCACAGATTCTCTTTATAAATTTGCCAGGTGCCCAGCCCTTGCCTGGAGAAAAATTCAGCATAAAGACAGTATGTCCTACAGTGGAAAAAGTATGAAAAAGACAAGTTATATAGCCGAATTCCAAATTTTATAACTTGCATTGTCATTAATTAGCTCATAAAAGTATAAAATAAACATCATAAATTTTGAGGATCTCAACAGGTCAAAAAATATGAGTTATCTGTTGCTTTAAACATGCATAAAATATGCACTCGTGTCAGTAAAAGGAGAGGGAAAAAACTTACAAGTTGTTCCTGTGACTTTTATGGAAAAAAAGGAGAGAAAAAATTTAGCTAAAGGAAGTAAAAAAAGATTCAAAAACATCAGTAATATGTAAATGAACATGAGATAGCACAGGCTCCATGGGGAAGAATCTCACTCTTCAGAGGAGAGATTCAAGAGGTTGAATTTAGCCATGTTATGTCTATTCTGGAATTCCAGGACCCTACAGAATACGAGAAAAGTGTTACAGCAAAACCTCATGGATACTGCTACCATTCTCTTTCCCTAAGGGGGACTTTTTCTTACATGAAAGGGAGAACTGCATTCCACCTGTCAACTCRGCATAGGACAGCCTTCATAAATATGAAAACAGAACCAAATTAGTAGACATTTGAGATGAATAAAAGGTTTTAAAGAGAATGAGTTTTGTACTAAAATAAAATGAAAAAGTCTAATCTCTGAGTAATAAATGATTTTCTAAGAATAATTTAAATTATGTGTAATTAATATCCTTAGAGGAATCTAGGTATATATTGCATAGAGACTGTTTAGTATATAGTCTATAATTATTTAAAACTTTAGCTGTGGGGCCAGACAGCCTGTGTTTGAAACCTGGTTTTACCACTAACTAGTTGTTTGGGTCTCAATGTGCCTCAGTTTCCTCAACCAAAATAGGGATAATAATTTACCTAATTTACAAACTAATTTTGAAAATTAACTAATACATAGAATAGCACCAGGCACACAGTAAACATTACTTTTATTATAATCATGTGAACTCATAAAAATTGGCTAATATGAAAAAGAAATAATTGTAAATCTTGAGAATAAGAAATATGATTGTTGAAATGAACTCAATTCCCTGTGGTCCTAGGTGAAATTTCTGACAGAAAGAACATTGGGTTGACCTAGGTAGTTATTGTGTGTGGCCCAAGTTTTCCATGTGGGCTATTACCCAGACTATAGATAAGTCACCTTGAGCCTGGCATCTCCCATAGTAGTTCCAGTCTCCATGGCATGGGAGAGCTAGGTGGTCATCTGAAATAAGGCTGATCTAGGGCTGCCTTTTCATCAGCAAGGCGCATTTGCCCTGGAGAAAGGCAGCATGACCACAGTATATGCTCCAGCCAACATGTTACTAGTCATTGCACAATTCCCCTTTTCTTTTAAATAAAGTGACTACCATTGAAAATAGCAATTGCATTTAGAGATTGAGTAATACAAGAAAGTAAATATTCAAGAGAATACAATAAATGACCTGGCAACAGTTCTTTGTTTACTGCTTTGTAAACCTTATAACACATTCTTTTATCTTTTGTAGATAGCTTGGTTATAATGTCTGTTTTGTTAGGATTCTTAAAATCTTGGATGAGTTAGTGATAAATATCAGGGAAATTTATTGCCTTGATATTTTAATAGCTAGTTTGGACTTGAAAAGAGATTTTTGAGAATTTTGCAAATTCCAAGATAACCTTTAAACCCTCTTAAAAATATATTCTGGTTTATCTTTTATTATGTAACCCAAAATTAGTGCTGAGTTTATGGCATATCAGTGTTGGTTATTATGATAGTAAATAATTTATACTAAAATTAAAAACTTGAAAGGTTATATGTAATAATATGTAGATATTGGTAATGAAACTGCGCAAATGTTCATTAAATTTATTCCAGGTTGGGCCATGCAGGCTGCTGCCTATATCTTTATTCATAGGAAGTGGAAGGATGACAAGAACCATTTTGAAGACATGATTGATTATTTTTGTGATATCCATGAACCACTTCAGCTCCTCATATTCCCAGAAGGGACTGATCTCACAGGTAAGACAGCCTGGGTTTGTATCACAGAATTTTAAAGCATCTAGTTAAAACTTCTTATTCCTTGGATGAAGTAACTGAATACCAACAAGGTTACTAGATCACCCCCAAGGTCACTCATTTAATCAATAGGACGTCAGGCCCTAGACACTATTTAATTTATAGGATCCAGGATTCCAGCTCATGGAATTTATTATAGGCAAGCCCAAGTGATTGTTGTTATTCACAACTGCTATCCTAGAACTTTACATTTTAGCCCCAGAATATATTTTAATATTTCAAYGCTTTATCTTTATGTAAGCAAATTTTTAATCATATTTTTGGTGAAGTTTGTCCCGCCTTCTGTTCTATATATTCTCTTGTCTGCTTTCAAGGTATTTATTTATCCTTTAAACTCTTTTTGCTTTCAATGCCTTCCTTATCAGAAAAGAATCTGATAGTAACTAATTTCAATTGTTGTTGATTTAAGTTAACTTAATTACCTTTCTTTTGATATTTAAACCTTATTCCTCTTGTAGGCAGGAAAGACATTATCTCTTCCTTAAAAACAAAACAAAACAAAACAAACAAACAAAAAACAACCATCATTGAGTTATAGAGGGAAAACAGGAGGACATGTTTAGAACTTTCTATCTTCCCRGATATCAAAAATATTAAAAACAAAATATTGTATACTCTGGCCACGCACAATGGTGCACACCTATAATCCCAGTGGCTCAGAAGGCTAAAGCAAGAGAATCGCAAGTTCAGATCCAACTTCAGCAACTTAGTAAGACCCTAAGCAAATTATCAAGGCCCTAAGCAATTTAGCAAGACCCTGTCTCAAAATTAAATAAATAAATAGGCTGGAGATATAGCTCAGTGGTAAAGCACCCCTGGGTTCAATCCCCAGTACAACAAAACAAAACAAAACTTTACAGTCTATCATAGTTACTAACTTAGTGTTTTCTACAACACTTATTTAAACCCCAGGTCATTTTTACAGATGAAACCTTCTTTTGCAGTCCAGAATGTAAGATGGATAAAAATGGAACTATCCTGGTTGAACACTGGGAGGAATGATGCGAAGAGGGCATAGCTTCCATAGGAAGCAGTTCTAGAGAATCCTTGGACTTGAAAGAGCAGAATTTAACTTTAATACCTTAAAGGTATCTTTCAGGAAAGACACAGCAGCACATTTAAAGGATCCAGTAGATGAATGTGTGCCGCATGAGGGAAAACAGACAAAAGCAGAGTAGATGGAAGTCTAAAAAAATAACAAATAGTATGGAAAGGAAGAACATGTACTAAACAAAGAAGGGCAACCCTTAGAGCTTAAAAAAGAGAACAAGTCAAGTAAATATTAATTCAAAACATGGACATAATAATTTATGGAACAAATTACCCAAAAAGAGTTCATAATAAAAAATAAAATTTATAGAAATATTTAAGTAAGTGAGGATTGACTGAGCCACAACTGASGCTGATAAGGGAAACTAAGGTATTTTGGGGAAATAGTTACCAAAGATAGCAASAAAGAGATCTTTGACTTATCTATTACAGATGGAGCTGAGCTAAATGAACCATGGAAATACTTATTACTAGGACAGTCTCTAAAATACATGCTTATTGTGTAACATCTGTTTGATTTTATGGTTAAAATTTTAAAATCAGGATCAAAGGGGATAATATGAAGGCTAATATTGGCTACCTGTTGCTTAAGCTTGAAAATAGATCCATTGTAGGTTTTAAGTTAATTGATTTCCAGTGCCAAACTACCTTTAGAAATTAAACTGGAAAGATAGCCAATTTAAATTTTATAAGACTTAGAATGTATGAAGCCTAACCTTGGATATTGAAATGTCAGTTTCGTTTGATGGAGTATAGAAAACAGTTGACCGAATTACATCCTGATTTATTTTTGTGAATGACAAAATGTACACTAAAGAACGTCAGTTTTGGAACTTTATAATAACAATAAAAATAATATAATGATAAATATAACACTAATGGGAAAAAGTTCATATGTTGCTGCTCCTCTGGTACATGTTCCATATATTAGTGTTAACATATTCCATACATTAGACCTTTAGAATCTATAAAATATATTCAAAATGTTTTTCATTTTATATTTTTTCTCAGGTTTCTTTTATAGGTGATGAACTTTACATCTAGTCGCAGGCGTTTGGAGTCCAGTGTGTTTCCTATTTCATATTTTTTAAAAGTTGTTTTGTTTTAGTTGTAGATGGACACAATATCTTTGTTTATTTTTATGTGGTGCTGAGGATTGATTGCTGTGCCTCATGCATGCAAGGCAAGAGCTTTTCCACTGAGCCACAACCCCAGCTCCTCCACTGCATATATTTTTATAAGTTAAAATGGCATTTACATCTTAAGGCCAAATTACAAAAGCCAGACAGTTTGCCCTAATGAAATAAAAAGTGGGGTCTGGTGTTTTGTTTTGTTTTGTTGCAGAATTATATGAGTTAGAAAAAAATGATTTGAAAAGGGCTAAGAAAATATTTTCAATTTGGAAAATTGAAAAAAAGTGTTTTTGGTTACCAGTTAACTTTCAATTTGAATTTTTAATTATAAAGAGAACATTTTATAATTTTCTTTAAATTTTGAATTCAATTTGCTTGTACTTTTCCAAATTAGTGCATTTAAATATGACCTTGCATGCATTCTATCTCCATGTATTATTGTTTAGCTTTTTTTTAATACTATGTATTAGAAATACATAATATATGTTAGTTTTGGAAAGTTCAGAAACAGAAGGATTCACAAAAATTCTTATAATTTCACAGCTCATACATAAGTAAAGACTATTCTAATTTGGTCCATTTCTTTTGGGTCATTGGTTACAGATACACACATACATAGGTGTCAATGTGTATATGTATATCCATACATATATAATCTTAAACAAAATTGGAAAACTAAGATCATACTTCATTCTTTTTCCCTTCATGTTATATTGTAATATTCACATCATTATATATTCTTTGAAAAGGTTGAGTAGTTTTATATTATATTGACATATTGGTATTCTCCAGAGAAATAGAAACAGTATACCAATAGGGAGAAAGAGATTAAGGTTTATTTTAAGGAAGTGGCTTTTGCATTGATGAAGGCTTGGCCCATCCTCAGGTTGGAGCTCCAGGGAAGAGTTTCAGATTGAATCCAAAGGCTGCCTGGAGGCAGAAGTCCTTCTTCCTTGTGGAGAAGGGGAGGGCACACTATCTTTTCCTGTTAAGGCTTTCAGTTAATTTAGATGAGGCCTTCCCACATGGTAGAAGATAGTCTGCTTTACTCAGTCTACAGATTTAGATATTAATATATCTTAAAAAAATCTGGAATAATGTTTGACCAAGTACCTGGGTACAGTGGCTTAGTCACGTTGACACATAAAATTAAATATCACAATTGGAATATTGTACTTTAGAGTTCCAGTTCCCTGATTTGGAAAGGAAAGCTTCCAGACTTTAACACAGTTACAATTTTATATACAATTTAACACCCTTGTATATAAAACATCTTCATTTAATAGATATATATGTTTCTGGATCTTTATGTACAAAACAGAGTTCCTTCTTTCATGAAGTTAATATGAGGGAAGAGATAAGTAAGTTACAAAAAGTAGGTCTGGTTGTCATAGGTGCTGTTCAGAAAAATAAGGCCAGACAAGGAGASAACAACAGAAGAAGGCAGGATGCCATTGGATATAAGGTATTTAGGGCAGGCATCTCTACTCTTTCTTGTGTAGGGACTAAATTTGAAAACCATGCATCTGTATGGTAGGTGAGAAGCCCTGTGGGAAAGGGGAAGAAAAGCTGCATAGACCTGAGGTGGGGACATGCCTGGCTGATTTGAGAAGGAGAGAGTGGCCTGCAGTCCTGTGGGTGGAAGGAGTGCTATAGTGGAGGAGTTTCAGGGAGTGAGTTGATAGAAGGTTGTGGTCAGAAAGTAGGATGTTAGTGTAATTACTAATAAGAACAGAGTCTGGGGATGGGTAGGTAAAGTAGGGTCAAAAGGAAAATCTGCATCTAATCTCTCTCTTTCTGTTTCTACTTTCCCGTGTTGTGACTGTACATTTTAGAACTATTTGTACTTGTATGCACATTAATTGAGAATTCAGTTTTTGTCTTCAGAATCCCCAGTCTTTGACAAATTGGAAGAGCAAACTAACAAGTAGTTACTGTTCATATTTATGTTGTCTCTGGGATTCCTGATTCCATATAAGGTCTGCCATCTACTTGCAACAGAAATACTGTTTGTAGCCCCATGCCCACAGAATTCAAAAACTAATGTAAACAGCTTTTTACTTTACATATTTAGGACCTTTCCTTTTTATTTGCTTGAAATATGTGGGTATTGGATTCCATTTTTTTTTTATTGTACCATGATGTAATACCTCCTATAAGAGTATTCTTTGAATATTTTAGTATTATAGAATGCATCTGTGGTTTCTGGAGGTTTGGGCAGCTTAGTAAATTTACTCCTAGGAAAAGTTGTATTTATGTAGATATGAAATTTGTAGAGTGTAGCTGAGGATTGCAGATTCTACCATCTGCTGTCTTCAGAAAGTATTTTGTGATCGCTCCCAAAAGTCGAGGCCAAATTTCTGAACACTTTACTTTTACCAAATGTATTTGCTGAATAATGGGTTTGGTTCTTCTTGGAACTTGCAAGTTACCTCATGGAATGGAAAAAGAAGGTTTCACCAACAATTGGAACATACACTCTACTCTGTAACTATATTCAGCCAAACCATCTTCAGATGTTTGTACATGATGTGCTAATCATGTGCCCATTCTGTTATGGAGTGGTTTTGGTTAGTAATATTAGCCTGTCCTTTGCCTGAGCAAGGCAGATATTTTACTTTTCATTGAAGGCCTAAATTATTGGGTTAAAAAAATGTTAATCTGATATATATGATTGCTAGTTGTTTCTTTTAGATAGCTAGATCCTTATATTTTGTTAGGTTTTTAAGTCTTATTAGCATTTTWAAAAAAATTTTAGTACTTGCTATAATTACATAAGGATTATTTTATTAAAGTTTTCATTTATTAGTGTTTTATTTCAGTTTTCATTGCATATTGGCTTTTATGAAGTCTTCTAAAGCATTTAAAAGATTTGAATATAGATTTCAGGAAACTTTCATGTAAAAAAAAACTATTGATACCGTGTTATAAAAAGTTTTAAAAATCCATTAAATTAGTCAAGAATCTTTGTAATGGCCTATCTAAAATGTTTGTATCTTCTTAGTATTCTGTGTTCAGTAATTACAGAATAATACTTGCCATTTTTATCAAGGAAATTCTGCACTTCTTTCCTTACCTCACTATTTGTTACCCTTTATTTGATGGTTTCTAATGGTCCGTTGTTTTGTTTAGAAAACAGCAAAGCTCGAAGTAATGATTTTGCTGAAAAAAATGGACTTCAGAAATATGAATATGTCTTACATCCCAGAACTACCGGCTTTACTTTTGTGGTAGAGCGTCTAAGAGAAGGTAAGCACTCATCTCTTTTTTTTTTAATAAAGTGGCAAAATTGCTAAACTTTATATGCTTTATATATAGGTCTTTACATTGTATAATGTTGACATCTGTGACACATAGTTAACTTCACCTGGTAATTGCTACACTGTCATAGAACTGCCTGTGCCTAATATGGAAAGTCTTTAACTATTATATAAGTAAAATTACAAAGTTCTTACTTCTTTCCCTTTGTTCCTTTAGTGTCTAATGTGCTTTAAGATATGAACTATAGCCTGTTCAGTTGAAGCTTTTCAACAACTAAGCACTCATGATTTTAAAGAAATTTATACACACACTGCCAGTCCAAAATCACATGGAAATGGTACATCAAGAGTGTTGTCCCTGTTAGTTTGGCTTGTTTTTAAATTGTGTGTTTACACACATGTGGCATGGACACGTGAGCTTGGGATCACATTATCTGTGAATAGGGAGCCCATCAATCCATTGAAGGTCATGAAGGATATAATTCATCATCCCTGTGGAATAGGCAAAATGGTACCAAGACCCTACGCTGGTGATACTTCTTTCCTTCCTTTCTCTGTCTCTTTTCCCTCTTTTCCTATGTGGTATCATTTACTGTAGCGTCTAATTTGGACTCATTCTTTTTGGTCACCAATATGGTTTCTATATTTAATGCTTTAAAAAAAAAATTCTGACATCATGTAACACATTCATCTACTAGATGGCTCTGTTAACAGTGTTTGACTTTGGAGCACATCTTTTTGCCAAAAAAGATCTTCCTAAATGTAGGCAGGATACATTAATAATAATGAGAAATTATTTTATAATGGGTAAGAATATATTCATAAAGCCCTCTTCTGAAACCTTGGAAATGTTTTAAAAGCAAACTGATTCATAACTTTGCTACACACTTAGGAAATGTGTATTGCTTAGTCATTACTCAAAGCACTAACTAATAACCACAATTAGTAATTTTTCCTGTCAGAACTAGTTCTAATCCTCACCCTTACCCACCCAGCATATATTAGTAAAAAGAGAGAGACAGACAGATACAGATGATCCCTTTTGCTTCAGCTAGAAAACAAGATGGCAATTTAGATGACTCCATTTATTTCAGCTAGAAATGCAAAAAGAAATATTGATTATTGTTAAAATAGTAATTGTAGCTAACATTATTTTAGCATTTAATAAATACCAGGCATTATGGTAGGTGTTTTTTACGTCTAAATTCAATTAATTCTCATAACAACCCTACATTATAGTTGTCACTTGTAATACAAAACCAAAGCAGAAACTGAGGTGAAGTATCTCATCAAAGTTATTAGAATATAGATCTAATAATGTAAAGCAAGAAAAGTTACCAAGATAGAGAATACTTGGAAAGCATACTTATCTTAAATATAGCACCAGTTAGGTAAAATCACACAAATATGTTGTTTTGATAATAATAATTGCAGCAAGTTTACCTTTAGTACCTTGATTGCCACCATTTGTGTACTTGCTTTATAATCCTGCTAGATCATAACCTTCTGTGGAAGGTCCTATACATAAGGGACTCAGTCAATATTATTTGTATGTAATAATTAAAAAATTTTATCTGAAAAGTAAGACAATATAATATTCTAGCATGCTCTTTGCAGAGCATTTTGTATATACTGATAGGCATCTGTTATGGGTGATTTATTTCATGTGTACCTAATCACAGAGTCTTTCAGTATGTGATTGTGTAATTTTTTTCTCACTGCTGGAATAAACCAAACTCAAAAGTAAGATGCTGACTTAGAGGAAAGGGTTCATCTGAAGAAGATTTTTTTTTTTCTGCTTGTATAACAAATTTATAATGTAGTTGTCATAACACCAAAAATTATTTACATTTGTCATCATCTCTGGTGCTTTATCATGTTTAACAATAATATCTTAAGTGTTTTATTTCAAATAAGTAATCATTTGGCTCACTCATTATTTGATTTTGTTGTACATTTTGTAAGCCAATTACTGAGTTGTAATCATGCAATAATTACTTTCACCATTGGGCGGCACAAGTGTGTGCATTTGAAACAACATGAAATTAGGCTAGAGTAGCTATGAGTGTGGGACATTTGTTTCATAGTATGTCTTATTTGAGATAACTTTGTCTTTAAGATATTACAGCATTCATGGGTAGATAAGAATTATATTATTTTTAGATGCTCCCATGTGTATCACATGGTATAGTTAAATGCTATATTTTGTGTATAGTACATAGATATTATGCCAAATAATTATAAGAGTATTTAATAAAGAGAGATTGTGTACTACTGAAATGTTCAGGTAAGGCTTCTGAAAGAAGCTGAATTTCCCTTGGACATTAGAGAGTACATGTGATTTGGACAGGCTGAGAAAACAAGGATGGCTAAGAAAGAGTACAAGAAAGGGCACAGACTCAGGACCTGTATGGACCTGAGCAGTCACCTAGGAAGAAAATCAACCCAATAGAGCTAAAGACCAGTTGTAAAGCAAGAGACAATATTTTAAGAAGGTTGTTTGGAGTCATTAATATAAAAAAATTTAATACCCCATACAGTCACAACTTTAGTTTGTGTGTTTCCAGATGAAATCATTTTGTTCTACAATTGTTCTCATTTGCACTGAGAAAACTGAAAGCAAAAGCAGTAGACCAGTCGTAGATAGCCAGTGTTCATCAGCATTGTCATATCATTTTAACTTCTTGGACTTTTTGCTTAGTTCACAGCTATCTGCTGACAATCCAGTCTGTTTATTGTCTGTAGTGACTTTGTCTAGGAGGCCAGCAGAGGCCATCACTGTGTGGYTCACATTTCATTTGTTTCAATCTGTGAGCCTGTCTCCGGACTGCAAGTCAGTTACCCTTCCTAATAGCCAGCCTGTGGTAGAGGACAAGGAAGAAAGGCAGACTGACAAACTACTGAAATATGGGGTGCCTTGTATACCATGTACTCTGACCTTTTCATGTGGCTTTTTATTGCTAGAAACCATTTATGAAATACAAGAACTTTCCCTTATATTTAAAAAAAATGTTATTGTACAATAGACCTTTGACATTTGCTAGGATATTTTCTGAGACCTTTTCCAGTTCCTGAAATTTGCAAATATCTTTGTAGATTAGCAGTTGACTTTCTTTTGAGGTCATTGTACAAGGAAAAAAACTTCTGTCTATTGATGGTGATAAATAAAGTACAACAAAATACTGACTAGTKGGTAAGTACATAGGTCACCCAAGTGACTTGGAGATACATACATGAAGCAGAAATTATTCAAATTTGCTCAGCAGAATTATATATAACCACATGTTAGAAATCTTTGGGGTCTCTCCATGTCATGTCTTCAGGTGCTATACTTTAGCTTGAGTGGCAATTCTTTTGTTTTCTCTTTTCATTTTATCCTCCCCCACCTCTAGTAGCAAAAAATCTGAGCTGCTCATTTAGGACAGATCTTTTCACTGTATTTAATGAAAAGAAGCATGACCACCTTTAAAAAAAAAATACCATCTAACCTTTATCAAGTACCTACCATGTACTAAGGATTGAATCRTACCCATGTTTTTTACCTTGCCCATGCAGTAGAATCAACCATGGAGGCTTGCAAAAATATCCAGGCTCAGACCTGCTGAATCACCCTGAGTGTAGCATCCTAAGCTCATAACTATTCTCTGCTCACCAGCCACTCTCATCCATATCACTTAATTCTCCCAACCAAGCTAGGCAGTAGCTTGCCCTATGCTACACCTGATCAAACTAGCTCCCTTTAGCAGCTTGCCCTGGGCCTTATAGCTACTGAATAAGGGTACCATAAATTAAAGTCAGGTCTGTTTGATGCTAAGGTCCATGTTCTTTGAACTGTAATTAATAAGTTTATAGTTTTTCTGTTCCAAATATTATAAAAACATCTTCTTTGTAGGTTTTTCCCTCCTTTTCCAAAATTTCTCTGTGATCTCCTTGGCTGTATGTGAGTTTTGTTTAAGTGGAAAAATACATAAAGGATTTCCTTTATTGTAACCTTTAGTTTTTCTGATTCCTACATTTACCAATTACTTATCCATTTCCCTCATCCTTAGAGAACACTTGGAAAACACACTTATCTTCAAATATAATACCAATTATGCAACATTATGCAAATAGGTTGTTTCTATAATAGCAATTGTGGAATGTTTAAGTACCCTGACTTTTCTTGTTCTTGACTTGCTTTATATTTCTACTAGAGTATAAACAACAACAAAAATGACAACATTGTCTTTCAAGTTATGGTTTCCCCCTTTTTTTTTCTTTTAGTCATTAAGTCTAAAAACTAGCTTTTGTGATTTGATTTTCTGAACACTGACTCACTTTCTGTGAAAAAGAGATAGTATTATTTTTATTATAAAAACTGTTTTTTAAAAAGGCATATATGTGGTACTCTATCACATTACTGTTTAACTAGGCTCTGTTCAAAGTTAAAATTAAAATTCCAATTGTCTACTCTTATAAATAATACCAAAGTATGCAAAAATCTGAATGTTTTCTTAGGATGAATTTCCAAGTAAAGTTACTGAGTTAAAAAATATTTATTTTCTTACTTTGAGTTGGGCATGGTGGCCCATAGTGGCCAACTCAGGAGGCAAGAGGATGGCAAGTTTGAGGCTAACTCAACAACTTAGGGAACACTCTGTTGCAAAATAAAAAATACCAAAAGGACTGGGGCTATAGCTCAGTGGTGAATGCCCCTGGGTTTAATCCTCAGTACCACCAACCAAAAAAAGTAAAAAAACAAAAAAATATTATTTTTATTTTATTATTTTTTTCAACCTCCAAATTCTATCATGATTGCTTTAGAGCCATCTCTTGTAGACATCCCACTTTCCTATACTCCCTTCCTGGCCCCAAGCCTTCCTGTCTAATTGGTCTCTGGTTTCTTCTTTACTAATCCATTTTAGACACTGATAACAGCCAGCCTTCATAAAATACCATTCCAATATAATTATGTATACATTTGTTTAGAAATTGTTCTTGAATTCATAT